CTCACAGCTCCCAGGGGCTCAGCTTTGGATTTGGCCCCGCCTCTGCGTGTAGGTCGCCGGAGGGTGTCTGTTCTTCGCTCAGACAGGATGGGGTTAAAGGAGCAGCTGATTCGGGGGCTCTGGCTCACTCAGGCCGGGGGAGGGGGGGCACGGAGTGCGGGGAGAGCCTGCAGTGGCAGAGGCCGGCGGGACGTTGCACCAGCCTGAGCCGTGCCGTGCGTTCTCCCGGGGGAGTTGTCTCTGGATCCCGGGACCCTGGCAGTGGCGGGCTGCACAGGCTCCCCGGAAGTGGGGTGTGGACAGTGACCTGTGCTTGCACACAGGCTTCTTGGTGGCGGCAGCAGCAGCCTTAGCGTCTCATGCCTGTCTCTGGGGTCTGTCCGTGCTTTTAGCTGCGGCTCGCGCCCATCCGCCTCTGGAGGTTCTTAAGCAGTGCTCTTAATCCCCTCTCCTCGCGCACCAGGAAACAGGGAAGAAAAAGTCTCTTGATTCTTCGGCAGGTCCAGAGTTTTCCCCGGACTCCCTCCCGGCCAGCCGTGGCGCACTAGCCCCCTGCAGGCTGTGTTCACGCCGCCAACCCCAGCCCTCTCCCTGCGCTCCGACCAAAGCCCGAGCCTCAGCTCCCAGCCCCGCCCGCCCTGGCCGGTGAGCAGACAAGCCTCCCGGGCTGGTGAGTGCCGGTTGGCACCGATCCTCTGTGCGGGAATCTCTTCGCTTTGCCCTGCGCACCCCTGTTGCTGTGCTCTCCTCCGCGTCTCCGAAGCTTTCCCCCTCCGCCTCCCGCAGTCTCCACCTGCGAAGGGGCTTCTAGTGCGTGGAAACCTTCCTCCTTCACAGCTCCCTCCCACTGGTGCAGGTCCCGTCCCTATCCTTTTGTCTCTGTTTATTCTTTTTTCTTTTTCCCTACCTAGGTACGTGGGGGGGGGGTTTCTTGTCTTTTGGGAGGTCTGAGGTCTTTTGCCAGCGTTCAGTAGGTGTTCTGTAGGAGTTGTTCCACGTGTAGCTGTATTTCTGGTGTATCTGTGGGGAGGAAGGTGATCTCCGCGTCTTACTCTTACGCCATCTTCCTGGAACCAGCCTGTTGTGTCTTTGAAACCAGAGTAAAACAGGCTTTATAAAAGGAATAGGAGTCTTCCCTTTCTGTTTTTGTAGGAGAAATTGTGTAGAACTGGTGTTAATTCTTCTTTAAAAGTTTGGTAGAACTCTTCAGTGAAACCAAATGGACTTGGAGACTTCATTTTTGAAAGTTTTTTTTTTTTAATATTTCAAGAGCTTTATAACTGATCTATCAACTATCATTTGTAACAATATGTTATTGTCACATTTATTGACAGAGTTCACTTGCTTGAAAGAATATTTGTTGAGGTAAACAGGTACTATACAGGGGGTTTTATCCATGAATCCCCTATCTGTGTACCTGAGATAAATTTACACAAGGGTCCAGATACCTTGTAACAAGAGGGTAAAAAAGCATCTGCTAAACTTTTATGTTCATTTAAAATGTTTAATACATTTCTTGGGCACAACTAACTGGTGTTTCTGCAGGCGGTGAGAAGGATGATGGATTTTTGGTAGCTAACTTAGCTCAGGGGCACCCACTGTTGGTACAGTTAGTGCAGTGACTTGGATAGATGGAACTTGATTTTTGGTGAAGGGTGGTATGTTGCTATACCTTTTAAATCTGTGATGCTCTTTTGCTTAATGTATTACTCAATTTTCAGATCATGCTTCCTCCTTTCTCTTCACCAGTGAACTTCTTGGGGATACCTCCCCATTTCCAAGTTCCCTCTCTTTCAAAAGACGTGCCTCTCCTAAGACGGCCATGTCTGGTTGTACACATGTTCAAGCCCTTTTCTCCTACTGCCCAGATCTATTAGATCTCAGATCTATTTTCAGTGCAGTGTTTCTATACTGGGAGTGGGGATAAATTCTTTTCTGAGAACAATCTTGTCTGTGTTTCACCTGTGCTTCATCCTGATACTCTCTCATGTTGCCTGGGCCATCTTGACCTGTCTCTCTGCTCTTATATAGACTCCAAATCTGGCTCTGCTTGCTTTACATATTTTCTCCCACTTATATGTAAACAACATTGGTTGTGGGTGGTTTTATTAACTTTCTTTTTTTTGATATTATGATTTTTGGAGAATGTGTACCATTTCTTTGCAAATGCCTACCTCCTACTCATCTTTTGTGCCTGAAAATAAATATTATTTCTTTCAGGATACCTTCTATTTTTGTGTACTCCCAGAGTGTAATAGGGAATTACAAATCTGACTCTATATTAGATCTGTTTCTTTTACTTTAACCTTTGTATTATATTGCTTTTGCTACATGTTAATCTCTAAAGGGATGTTGCTTATAGCTTAAAGTTAACATAATGTCCTATCTCCGAGAACCCTGCCCTCCATGCCTGAACGTAAAACTAAAGCACCTTTGTTCAGGTCACAGGAAATATCCTGACCCAGCCCACCTGTGAAAGGCTGCAGGAAAGAAGAGATTAACACATCCCATCCCAGAGCCTGGCTGAAACCAGGAGATATCTGCAGCAACTTATGGCCTTTTTACATTACCTCTCCACCTCCCCCGCTCTTTATTCTATAAAAGAAATGAGCATCCAGACCCCAGTAAGATGGTTCTCTGCACATCAGTTTGCCATTTTCTCAGACTCCTGGCTTTCCAAGTAAAGTCATTATTCCTTGCCCCAGCACCTGGTCTCCTGTTTTATTGGCCTGTCATGCAGCAAGCAGAACGAGCTTGGACTTGGTAACAAGAGCGTTCATCACAGCACTTACAACTGTAACCACCCTTTACCTCTTCTGTAATCCTTCATGCAGTTAGCTTACTGAGGAGTGTTTCTCATGGTCATTTTTTCATCTTTTCTATTCAACACAGGGATCAACCTTTATTAGAATCTCAATAACTCTTTCTTGAGTAAATGACTGTGTTATTTCTCGGTAAGGAACCAAGAGTGGGGCAGTCTGTCTCTGGTGCAGGTAGTAAGGAATGCACATCTGCAGATAATTTCAATACAATAATAAAACCAACCAAAAGTTTGTCTGCTTTTGGGCTTCCCTGGTGGCGCAGTGGTTGAGAGTCCACCTGCCGATGCAGGGGACGTGGGTTCGTGCCCCGGTTTGGAAAGATCCCAAATGCCGCGGAGCGGCTGGGCCCGTGAGCCATGGCCACTGAGCCTGCGCATCCGGAGCCTGTGCTCCGCAACGGGAGAGGCCACAACAGTGAGAGGCCCGCGTACCCAAAAAAAAAAAAAAAAAAAGTTTGTCTACTTTTTATTATAACCATAGGCCAATAAATGTAAATAATTTCATGATAAAATAAATATTCCTCTCTGTTGGGAGAGACCCCCTTCTCTCTGTAGCACACCACTGTTATTTCCATTATCAGAAGAAGATAGACATTTTGTTATAGCCTAACTCTCAGCCTTCTTTCATACCCTTTTGAAGAGTTAATGCCTGCTAGATAATGTTCAGAAAGAAGAGAATTTATTTTATACTTCTTCTAGGGTACAAATGAAATATTACTTCATAATCCTCTGGTACTTTCTTCCTTTCAGCCTCATTATGACAAGCTCACCTTGATGCTAGTTTCTGTCTGCAACTCCTGGATTCAATCACCTCAAAAAAGGGAGAGGTATGTAAAGGTGTGTCACACCTCCCTTTACTTCTGATGAGATGGCCTTAAGGTTCTCCTCAGCTTGACTCAACTTTAGAAAGATTTCTTTTTAACTCTAGGCACCTGATCTCCCTTTACTTAGAGCACTTTAGAAAACTTGCAATTGTAAATTCTTTCTCTGCTCCTTTGAGATGTAAATCCTCTACAACCCAGGAATGTTTTTCTCGAGGACCTGGGGGCCATTTCTTTGAAATGTAATCACGAAAGCCAGTGCCGCTGTGTGCCAGTCTCTGTGGGAGGGTAGGAATCTAACTTCAGTGACCACGAGTTATCAAACACTGATGGCCTGATCGCATTGACCAACCTCCCAACCAACGTCCTTCAGCACTTTTCCACTAGCTCACCCAGTGCTTCAAAACTCTCCTGCCTTTTGTTTCAATGGAGTTGAGTTCAACCTCTCGCCCCTATTTCAGTAGTCTTTCTCCCCTACTGCAATAATCTTGAATAAAGTCCTCCTGTTTAACCAGTCCAGTGCAATTTTTCTTTTACACTTCCATGTCTATTTTCTCTTTATAGAAGTACAACTAAAGTAGTATGAGTTTAAATAAAATCCCAACTTCAATAAAAAAAGAAACACAATATAGGGAAGGAAACTATAAACTATATCCAAAATAGGACTTTCTCAATAACTTAAGAGAAAAGCATTTTCATAATCTCATAGAAGTGTCCACTCACAGATATACCTCACTTGATAAGTTTACTCTCCTTTACTCAGGTATGCATTTAAAAAACAAAAATGACAATGACAACAAACAGTAAAAGCTTCCCTTTCTTCATGAGTTGCCCTGAGCTTTATAATTGTTATTATTATCTTCCTTTGGGGAAACTTTACCCTTTATAATCAAGATTGTTCTTCCTTTAGTAAGCAACCCTGCTCTCTTCCTACACCTCCCATCAAGATGTAGTACGTTTCTCCAAGTTATTCAGTTAGTAGTGCTCTGGCACTCTAGGGACAGCCTGGGGACATAAGCACCTTTCATGAAATAGTGCAGGGTATGTGTGGGCACTGCAAGTCAACTCCTCTTAGAGTTTTTACCAACAGCATGAGTTTCAGACATGCTTATTTATTTGTCAACTATGTACAAGGTAACTGCTAAATCTTACACCAAGACACATTTCCCAAATAATAAACATTTATTCTCAGAGACAGTACATTCTAAACCCACTGGAGGAAGAGAAATATATTCCTTTTTGCCTCCATAATTTACAAGGCGGCCACTTTCACAGTGAAGTCCGATTTTGGCATTATCACGCAGAACACTGTTAATTCTTTTCCTTTTTTTTTTTTTTTTTCTGTCTCAGACACTTTGTGCCTCTTTGATTGGCCAAGAATAAAAAAGGGACACATTCTGGAGTCAGATACCAACTCCCTTTTCTACACAAAGAGCTATGTGCAGTTTTGGCAGATTATTTGTAATTCCTGGATTAAATTTTTAGCTAATAGCCATCTTCAACTCTTCTTTATGGAGGAAAACATTTTTTTATTCTAGTTAAGATAAAACAACAAATAGGTGGGTAAGAATTAAGCAGGTATTTAGTTATTTTTTTTTTTCATTTTAATCAGGAGCTATGAAATTTCTAGATTTTATTTAAGGCTTGGTGTTATAGCTTACTTATTTCTCTACCTTCCATAATGCCTATTACATGATTCTATATGAACTATCAGGGCCTGCGACTATGATAGGAAATAGTATTTCACTGACAACGACATTCCAATAACACTTGTTAATCACAGTAGTTTTCCAATTGTCTCTATAGGTTTCTGTATTATTATAGCCTTGCCATTATAAAGATACCTATTGTCACTATGCCATAATAACTTTGGATTCCAAAATTGATTTTGGAGAATGAGAAACAGATATCCTTTCATTCCCAAGAAATAGATATATTTCTGGAATTCACTATTAGCATTTGTTTTTGCAATTTGGTTTTTAGAATGAAAATTAATGGACACTGGTAAAAGTGACCAAAAGAAAAAAAAAGTTGATGCAGCATTTTTATAACTTTCATTGTTGCTACAGACTGAGAGGACTATGGTAGCAGTTTCATTTAAATAATGTACTTAACTTCTTAATATGATCTCTTAGTTCTTTATCCAACTGTTCATGTTGTGAGAGAGTGGAATTCAAGTGCCAGATTTTAGCTCTGCCCACCGATGACGATATTTGCGCATCTGTGAGGTGTTTCCAGTTTAGGTTCGATTAGCTTGTCCTATTTAGACTAATTTCAAATCTAAACAGTTTTGTGCTGTTTAAGCAGAGGAAATGGAAGTACCACTGTAACCACTTGCTTTTGCTTCCAGATTAAACAGAACATCTATAATCTTCTAAAGACCTAAAAGACTGCATTATGTCTGGAAACTGTAGTATTTATCTACTATTCCCAGGAGACTATTGGTAAGTATTAAGAAAGTTGGCTGAATGGTGTTCTGTTAGCCTTCTAGGACCCTTTCTGACTGTAGGACATAGAAAAAGATATTTTATAGAAGAAACGGGCACAATCTTTATATACCCCTTTGGAGATTTATTAATTTATGTATTCCAATGTAGTGACAATTACCTGCGTTTGTGGTGGCTATTCTGGGATTACCTGAAGGTGACCATCACCTTGGATATGATCTTCACTTCCAAATGTTTCATTTTGGCAGTCAAAAAAAAAAAAAGTAAAAAATTTCACTCCCATTATCAAGCCAGGTTAAGAGCCATAATTTTCATGATTCTCTAATTTGATGAAATTAGTAGGGAACAATGTTATGATTCCATTTCTGCTATTTGCTAATTTTGTGACCTTAGTCTGTGTCTCAGGTTGCTTAGGCAGAAAATGAGAGTGTTGGATTAGATGACGTGGTAAACATTCCTAGTGTACATTTCTAGAGTATCTTTCACTGCTGTGAATTTGTGAGCCATGATAAAATATAATTCAGGCTACTTTTATTAAATTATTCTTTGAAGCTATTTGACCACTTATTAGGGTTTTAATCTTATATTTAGAAGTACCACACCTTGATCCATGGATTCTTTTTAGTATGACACAATTTCAATTTTGCAATGTTGTTCATTTTTACAGTTTTTGAGCTGAAACCTTCCGACAAAAAATGAAAAAATATCAGTATTTACATATATTGACCTATTTAGTACTTATTGTACTATGTGAATTTCCTTTTTTTTCTTGAGATGCTAGTGGACTATATATCTCAATATTCCTCTCCAAGGAACACATTCATATGAACTCAGAATACATATCAAAATTCTAGAAGTAAAAATCTTTCATAAAAAGATACTTTGTTTTGCTCAAATGCTATGTCACTTCAATGAAAATGGAGTTACTTTTCTCACAGTTAGTAAGCAACATTAGAAAGAAGTATAAGTAATCTTATTTTTCCTACATGATCGTTCTAGGAATAGTTATTAATGCCAAATTACTATTCATTTCTATATATGAAAATCGTAACAAACACCAAACTTCCAATGTTTATTGAATGTTTATTCTGCTCCAGAAATATCTACCACATTATGATTATTCTAATTATTATTGCTGTAAGGCACATCTTTTTCTTATCAAATGCCAGTTATGTAAATTCCATTTATTTAATAATCCCTTCTTCCCCACTAATTTCCAGTGTTTCCGCAATTGTACATAAAGTTCTCATTAAACTTGAGTTTAGAGCTGAGTTTTTACAAGTTTATTCCCCAGTATTATCAGTACATTGATGAAGAAATTGACAGAAATAATCGAATACTGTTTCCAAGTTCATACAGTTTATAAGTAGACCAAGAATGATTAGAAAACACAGTTGGGGCTTCCCTGGTGGCGCAGTGGTTAAGAGTCCGCCTGCCGATGCAGGGGACACGGGTTCGTGCCCTGGTCTGGGAGGATCCCACATGCCGCGAAGCGGCTGGGCCCGTGAGCCATGGCCGCTGAGCCTGTGCGTCCAGAGCCTGTGCTCCGCAACGGGAGAGGCCACAACAGTGAGAGGCCCGCGTACTGCATAAAAAACAAAAAAACAACAAAAAAAACACAGTTGGAGCTTAAATTATCCTTAAGTGTCACCATTCAAACATGCATGCACAAAAAAGATAGTGTCAGAATAGAGTTGCTGCTATCTTGTTGGACATAAGTGAGAGGGCCAATGTACAATGAAAGTGCAGAATTGTTGTGGAGCAAATTGCTGATGGAAAAACACCTTCATTCCTTTTAAGTCAGAGTGGGTAGTTACAGCTTCTACATCAACAAAGACGGGTTGGGAAGGGATATAGACTTAGTACAGTTCGTTTCTATTTTGTTCATTATAGTGAAGAGAGTAATGAGACAAGCATAGTCAGCTTTGGTCTTAGTCGAGAATACAGACATAGAATTTCTTGTGAAAAAGTTAAATATTTAATGAAAAAGGGACAGAGCAGAGGCCACGGGTTAAAGGCTGATAGAGTCTTAAAATCAGCTTTATTTGCTAGGTATGTTTCACAGACCCCTTGTGCTCAGAAAGCTGATTGTCAATGTACAGTATGTGCAGTGTATCACATACTGAGCTAATGGTACTGACAGGATGGGAAGTAATTGGCCTCTTATAAATTATAGGACAAATTTATGATTTGCCATTCCAGAAGGAGAGGCCTGTGAGGATCATGCCAGGTGCACATCATAGATCAGTGTCAATATTCATGATTTCACCTATGAGTAAACCTATTTCACTTTTCTGTACATCCAATAAATTGTATATCTAGACAGAAGATTTATCCACCATTAGGTAATGATGGCTGGTACAGAAGTAATTTTTCTCTATATTTTCTTTAGGGAAGCTTGCTACCTTTCCAGTAACAAAGATCAAGAAAAAATGTTGGAAGCATACATTTAACATGTTGGGTATTGCTTCACTCAAATCTCATCACATTTTAGATTAGTAGAAAAAATGAATGGAACATTATTATGAGATGGAAAAGCAAATCAGACTTATCCCTATGTTTTTCTTTGTCCCCTTTAAGGGATTTATGCCCCACTAGTTTGGGATATTTTTCTTTCTATATTTGCAACCATCTGCTGTCACTTTCTCATTTCAGGTTGCTACTTCATTTTATATTTTGAGAGGCAATAAACTCATTCATCTACTTCTTTCAGCCTTATGTCATAATCCATAGTGTAGAAGAACTATCTTGTAGATTGGTTCAAAGAATTTGGGGGGGCCTAATATATATTTCCTGTTCCCCATGTTTCCATTTTTAAGTCCATATTTACTGTCCAGTGAGCCTTATCTCCTTCAACTAGTTATTGTATCTCGAAACAAGATCTTATTTTAGTGTTGTGTATAGCTAAAATGGTACCCATATAAAATAATTAAGTGGATGACATTGCTGTCATCATTCACTAGTTTTTCATTTTAAAGCCCCCTAAATAATTTGAGGGAAGGCATGAATTTTTTAAATGCTGCTCAAGGGTGATTCATTATTGTAGGTACACCCATACATGGGAGCATTTATAATATGGTTATGTAGTGTGAAGTTTGATCATATGTTTTGTTTAAGTCTGATAATTATTTTTTAAATCAATCAAGTGGCTTTTTTATTTTAATGTGAACGCTCTCTTAGGAGTTTACCCCACAAAAAAAAATTCCTATAGCAATTCATTCAAGAGTAAGAAAAAAGGAAAATATTATATTCCCAGAGGGTATACCAAAATTTTCTTTAGGTCTCCAACATGGACTTGTGTAGATAGAAATCGTCATTGTTGTTGACAATGTTGTGACTTGTAGAGTTTGTCCTGCCTGACAGCTATAGACTGAATGTTTGTTTCCCCCCAAAATTCATATGTTGAAACCTAATCCCCAGTGTGATGATATCTGGAGGGAGAGTTTGGGAGGTGAATAGATCATGAGGTTGGAGCCTTCATGAGTGGAAAAAGTCTCCAGTGACTTGCCCCTTCTGCTGTGTGAGGAAACAGTGAAAAAATGGCCATCTATGAAGCAGGAAGCAGGCTCACACTGTATGCAGAATCTGCTAGTACCTTGATCATAAGTTCGTTTTCACCCATGGGAAGCAAATTTTGCCCTTTGTGGGGGCAATACTGCTTCCTTTGAGAATACATGATTTACTCTTTTCACTGAAAGCTGTTGTTATTTACAAGTAGAAAATCTTGCATAAATTATGATAGTACAGAGAAGTGATAGGATTGAGGTGTATATTCAGAAGAAGGGAGAGAAGAATCGATTGTTTACTGACCATCCACCAATTTGCCAAACACCATGCTAGGTATTTTGCATGTATTATTTAATTAAATCTCCCAAAAACCCTGCTAAGTAAGCTGCACTATTCAGCTCAAATGATCCATTTTCTCCTCTAATTCCTGGCTCTGTTATTATTGACTAAATATGATTTTCCTTTTTTTTTTAACATCTTTATTGGAGTATAATTGCTTTACAATGGTGTGTTAGTTTCTGCTTTATAACAAAGTGAATCAGTTAAGACATATACATATGTTCCCATATCTCTTCCCTCTTGCGTCTCCCTCCCTCCCACCCTCCCTATCCCACGCCTCCAGGCGGTCACAAAGCACCAAGCTGATCTCCCTGTGCTATGCAGCTGCTTCCCACTAGCTATCTACCTTACGTTTGGTAGTGTATATATGTCCATGCCTCTCTCTTGCTTTGTCACACCTTACCCTTCCCCCTCCCCATATCCTCAAGTCCATTCTCTAGTAGGTCTGTGTCTTTATTCCTGTCTTACCCCTAGGTTCTTCATGACAGTTTTTTTTTTTTAATTCCATATACATGTGTTAGCATATGGTATTTGTCTCTCTCTGACTAACTTCACTCTGTATGACAGACTCTAGGTCTATCCACCTCATTACAAACAGCTCAACTTCGTTTCTTTTTATGGCTGAGTGATATTCCATTGTATATATGTGCCACATGTTCTTTATCCATTCATCCGATGATGGACACTTAGGTTGTTTCCATCTCCGGGCTATTGTAAATACAGCTGCAATGAACATTTTGGTACATGACTCTTTTTGAATTATGGTTTTCTCAGGGTATATGCCCAGTAGTGGGATTGCTGGGTCATATGGTAGTTCTATTTGTAGTTTTTTAAGGCACCTCCATACTGTTCTCCACAGTGGCTGTATCAATTTACATTCCCACCAACAGTGCAAGAGGGTTCCCTTTTCTCCCCACCCTCTCCAGCATTTATTGTTTGTAGATTTTTTGATGATGGCCATTCTGACTGGTATGAGGTGATACCTCATTGTAGTTTTGATTTGCATTTCTCTAATGATTAGTGATGTTGAGCATCCTTTCATGTGTTTGTTGGCAATCTGTATATCTTCTTTGGAGAAATGTCTACTTAGGTCTTTTGCCCATTTTTGGATTAGGTTGTTTGTTTTTTTCTTACTGAGCTGCATGAGCTGC